GGTTTTTTTGACTCAGTGTCTCACTATGTAGTTGAGATTGACCTGGAACTCACTACGTAGCCCAGGCTGATCTTGAATTCACAGTGATCCTCCTGCCTCAGCCTCCCAAGTGCTGGCATTACAGGCATGCGCCACCACACCCAACTTTTTTTTACTTTTAACCTACATTGAAGTACATACAAAAATACATTTGTCCCATCCTTGTTATTCATTCTAACAACCTCTGATTTTTTTTACTGGCATATTTAAAGCAGTTAAATTTAATGTAATTATATGTTTGTACTTAAGCCTACCATTTTGTTTTCTATGTTTCTCTTTTTAATTCCTCTTTTTGGTATCAGGAATTGAACTAAGGACCTTGTGCTTGTCAGGCAGATAGGGTGCCACTGAGCTACATCCCCAAGCCTCCTCCACCTTCTTTATTGCCTTCCTTTGTATTATTTAAATATTCTTTAGTATTAAATTTTAATTTAGTGTGCTTTGACTATATCTCTGCATAGAGTTTTGGTTGTTGCAATTACAATATACTGAACTTTTCATAGTCTATTTAGAATTAATACCCCACGCAATCCCCAGTACAGAAAAAAAAAATACCCCATTCAAGTGGAATAAAAAAGCTTAAGCCATGTACAGGGGGTTAATCAAAATATACTGTGAATGCTTAAATTTAAAAATTTTATTACAGTAAAAGACATTGCCATTATCCTCCTCAAATATTTCCCCTTGCTTCAAATACACATTATCTTTCCTGCCACATTCTGAAGCAGACCTGGAATTTTTTCATGTCTTTAGGAGATATGATCAAAAATATGCTGCTGCTGAGCCTCATCCAATGTAAAGGCAAGCTCATAAAAACGTTATAGTATTTCCTCTCCACTTTACTCACTGATCTGGCACTGTACAAACCTAGTGTTCTTCCCCAAAGTCAAAATGTTCCATGCTACAACACGGATGAGCCTTAAAACACACGAGGTGAAAGAAGCCAGTCATAAAGGATTACATATTGTATAATTCCATTTATATGAAATGTCTAAAGTACATAAATCTTATAGATGCAGAAAGTAGACTGGTTTTCTAAGGCTGACTGATTTGAGAAAGTAACTAATAATTAGTATGAAATTTTTTTGAGGGTAACAAAATGATCTAAAATGAATTATGATTGCATTGTCACTGACAGATGCATACTTCATGTATGTTTATAAGAAAGATAAACACTTTAAACCAGTTCAGGATATTGAGGCAGCCACAACAGCCCAATTAAGAGACTTCTAGAACTTATCCAGAAAGTGGTTAGAATGGTAGGATAAGTGTTTAAAGCAAGAGGGTGTTTTGAGGGGGGTTGATGGCAACTTATCTTTTTCTGTAATAATTTTTTAAAATTTAAACATTCACTGTATTTTTGGATGGCACCTTGTAAATCACTTTACCTTTTCCCTTTCATGTTATGGTTGTTCTATATCTTTACAACTGTATATATTAAAAACCACATCAAGCTAAGCATGGTGGCACATGATTGTATAAAAAACTGAATTTATCTTCATCCAGGTACCAGACTAACCACTGTGTGGTGAACAGGGACCAGATCCCAGTAAGTACTATTACAAATCTTTTTTCTAGGAAGATGCCTATAATTATTATCAATATTATTATAGAACTGCATTTATTGGTACATTTTAGGCATACAGAATGATAACATTCATCACATGGAATTTGTACCTTACATGGTACATCACAAGTCTTTGAAAACTGAAATGCAATTCTAACCACGGCCCACAGTAGGATCTTACAGCATAAAACCTAATTTGGTCAAATGCATTCTAAAATAAGAATAGCAATATTCTTTATATGATTTAAGCAAGACTCAGCATCTTGTAGCACAAATAAAGATAAAGATAAAACCTGCAAATAATTGCCATATGGAGAACCAGGAAAATCTCAGTCTTTTATATGCTGATTAGACACACAACAACCTCTGTACAACTCATAACTGAGCCTAACAGTTTATAAACAATTTTACAAGGTTACTTTCTCAACTTCCTCCTTTCCATGATGTCTCATACTATTTAATTTCCTGGGGCCCTTTCTGGTTCTTCAGCTAGAAATCTAGTACTTTACTTAAATCACCCTCTCAAGCATCTCCACAGTCATGTGGCAGATTAGTGGATAAAAACAGTAAACTCAGTGCTAGCTCAGTGCTACATAATATGGCCTTCTTCCCGAACGGCTCTGCCATTATTCACTTTTTAGTCTTCAAATACAACTGCTCCATTCAGTGTAGGTTTTGTATCTGCATTAAGTGAAAAAAGACAAGAAGCGTGTACTTAAGTCATCTTACTGCCCTCATAGTTTTTCTAACGGTAGTTTGAGTCTGTAAATTGTTTTTCCTTGAGTGTTTTATCAAGATGATGCTGTCTTATGAGTTGAAGAATGTATGTCCTTTAAAAAAAATTCTCTGGAAGAGTTTTTGAAGGCCAAAAAGTTAACTAATAAATCCAATTGGCATTTTCTTTGTGAGAGGGTTTTGACTTAAGTTGCTTATACTAGTTCTAGAAATATTCAATTCTGCTTCTCCTTGTTATTTTTAAGTTGTATTTTTTCCAGGAATTTCTGTCACTTAAATTTTCAAAGTTACTAACACACATTGTATAATTTAAGATCATTCTAATGTCTTTCTAATCTTTTGTTATGCTCCCATTTTCCTGATTTTAAATGTTTTTAAAAATTTTTTATCAGTCTCACATAGAGACTGCATAGTCTTGGAATAATTTCTTATACATGACTACAAGAGCATAACTAGCCAAAGGAAGCCTGGTGTAATAACACACACTGCAATCCCAGCACTCAGGAGACTGAGGGTGGAGGATTTTTTGTTGTTGTTTTTGTTTTGTTGTTTTGTTTTGTTTTTTGAGACAGGGTCTCACTATGTACTTGAGACTGACCAGAACTCACTATGTAGCCCAGGCTGGTCTCGAACTCACAGAGATCCTCCTGCCTCAGCCTCCTGAGTGCTGGGGTCTCAGGAATGCGCCACCACATCTGGCAGAGGGTGGAGAATTGTTTTGAGTTCAAGGCCACTCTGGGCTACACACTGAGTTCAAGGTCATCCTCAAATACAAAGACAAAACTTGTCTCAAAAAAGCTAAAGAAAAAACTAGGTAAACTAGATACCATCAAAACTAATAACTTCAAAGACCAGTATCAAGGAAGTGAAAAGGTAAGTCAAGAAGGTAAAAAGAGCTGGGAGTGGTGGCACATGCCTGTGATCCCAGCACTCGGGAGGCTGAGGCAAGGAGGATCGCTGTGAGTTCAAGACCAGCCTGGGCTATGTAGTGAGGTCCAGGTCAGTCTCAAATAATAGTAAGATGCTGTCTCAAAAAAAAAAGAAGGTAAAAAGAGAATTCAAGGGCCAGGGATTTAGCTCAGTGGTTCCGCTGCCTGCCCCACAAGCACAAGGACTCAAGTTTGATCCCCTGTACCAAAAAAAAAAAAAAAAAAAGAGAGAGAATAATTCAGAAAATACTTGAAAAGCATATATGACAAAGGACTTATTATAATATTTTAAAAATGCATACAAGTCAACAATAAAAAGGCAGATAACTAAATTAAAAGATGAGCAGAAGATGTGAAGACATTTCTTCAAAAATTTACAAATGGTTAACAAGACCATGAAAAAAAATTCAGTATCACTGATTCTCAGTGAATAGCAAATCAAACTCTCAAGATATAAAAGTGTTGGTAAGGATATGGAAAAATCAGAATGCTCATATAATATTGATGGGAATGTAAAATAGTACAACCACTTTGGAAAATGGTATGAGGATTTCTCAAATGGTTAAATATAGTTACTATACGACCCAGTAATTTCACTGCTAGGTATATATATGCTCAAAAGAAATGAAAACACATGTCCACACAAAAACTGGTACAAAACGTTCATAGCAGCATTATCCATAACAGCCAAAAGAGGAAACAATCCTCATGTCCATCAGCTGATAAAAGGTTACTGTGGCATAGCCACACAATGGAGTAGTATTTAGCCATTAAAATGAATGAAACATTGATCCATGCTACAACATGGATGAGCCTTAAAACACATGAGGTGAAAGAAACCAGTCATAAAGGTTTACATATTGTATAATTCCATTTATATGTAATGTCTAAAATATATAAATCTTATAGACACAGAAAGTAGACTGATTTTCTAAGGCTGAGTGATTTAAGAAAGTAACTAATACTTAGTATGAACTTTTTTTGAGGGTGACAAAATGATCTAAAATGAATTATGACTGCATTGTTACTGATGGATGCATACTTCATGTATATACTTGAATGGGTGAGTTGTACGGAATGTGCATGACATCTCAATGAAATTGTGAAGAGACTGGTCTCTTAGACTCTTAGTCATTCTCATTCATATTCTCTCTCTCTCTCTTTCTCTCAGATTACTCACTCTTGGGAATGCCAAACTTTGAGCTGTGAGCAGCTTATGAGGAGAGAGGCTCAGGAGGCAGAGCACTGAGGCCTCTTGACAAAAGTCATGTGAAAGACTTTGAAAGTGGGTTTCCCTATCCCTCTTCCCCAAACTGTCAATGGCTGAATTTCTGGATAACTCAGGATCACAAGTTTTAGTCCCACATGGGTAACTTAGCAAGACCTTATCTCTAAAATAAAATATAAAAAGAACTGGAGATGGAGCTAAATGGTATGGTGCTTCTGGGTTCAGTCCACTACAATTCCCCATGCACACCCAAAAGACTGAATTATAAGATTGCTGAAAGTGCTTTTCCAAGCATTGTCTGACACATTTGCTGAATATTAGAGCAAAGCCTAGAAAAGATTAAGGTTGTATAGTTCATGCTAAAATAACACAGTGGAGGAGGCGGAGGAGGGAGCCTGCGAGGGAGGGTTTTCCTGCCCCCCTCCCCCCAGCCACCAATGTCTCAGCCAGTGCCAGACAGTTGAGTACTGGGGAACTTGGTGCAGGGGCCACCCTTGCAGCAGCCCGATCATTGAGGCTAGGGCCATGCTGAGGGCGCCCAGCTGGTATAATTAGATGAAGTAGAAGCCAACAACTCTTTTTTGAAAAGCTGATGCAAAGAAGAATAATATAAGATTGATAGGAGTCCAAGAAAAAGCAAGAGAAAGCACAAATAACATAAAAAAAAACTATTCACAGAATAGAAGAAAACTTCCCAAACAGAGCAAAAGAACTTGACATAAAGATAAGTGAGGCATATAGGACTACAACTAGTTATGAAGTAGAAGCCAACAACTCTTTTTTGAAAAGCTGATGCAAAGAAGAATAATATAAGATTGATAGGAGTCCAAGAAAAAGCAAGAGAAAGCACAAATAACATAAAAAAAAACTATTCACAGAATAGAAGAAAACTTCCCAAACAGAGCAAAAGAACTTGACATAAAGATAAGTGAGGCATATAGGACTACAACTAGTTATACTACAAGCAGTTACAGAAAAGACATAAATTACATGTAAAGGAAAACCCATAAGAATCACAAGAGATTTTTCAATGCAAACCCTCAAGTCAAGGAGTGCCTGGAGTGAGGTATTTCAAGCTTTAAAAGAAAACAACCTCCAACCTAGGCTGATGTATCCTGCAAAACAATCTTTCAAAATTGATAGAGAAATAATATACTTTCATGGCAAAGAACACCTGAGAAACTTCATGAATACCAAATCAGCACACCAAACAATTTTTACAAACATCCTAGGAAAAGACAGTGAAGGTCACAACTTCATAAGGCCCAAAAGAGCAAATCCAATAGGCAAGAATTTAAAGGGAGAGGGAGAAAATAAAAAAAGAACCAACAACAGGAAAATAACGTGACAACGATGACTCAATACATATCAGTTATAACCAGCTATTCCTCAAAGGTCTACTATCTAGAATATATTAATAATTTTAAAAAATCAGAACCCCCCCCAAATACAAAGACCCAATTCAAAAATGGGCATCTGAAATGAACAGACATTTCTCAGGAAAAAAAACAAAAACAAAAGCAGCAAACTTATGAAAAAATGTTCAACATCACTGGTCATTTGAGAGATGCAGATGAAAACAACACTGAGATTCCATCTCACCTCAGAAAGAATGGCTGCTATCAAGAAATCAACAATAACAAATGCTGGCAGGGTTCTGGGGAGAAAGGGACCCTTCTTCATTGTTGGTGGGAGTGTAGACTGGTGCAACCACTGTGGAAATCAATATGGAGATACTTCAAACACCTAGGATTAGAAGTTCCATTTGACCCAGCTATTTCTCTGCTGGGTATCTTTCCAAAAGAATTAAAAGAATCATACCACAGTGATATATGCTCACCCATGTTTATAGCAGCAGTTTGTAATAGCTAAAACTTGGAGACAGCCCAATTACCCATCAACTGAAGACTGGATAAAGATGTGCTTTTGTTTTTTATAAAATGGATACTACTCAGCCATAAATAATGAGAAACTAAAGATATCTATAGCTCAGTGGGTGTACATTGAGGCCATACTCTTAAGTGAAATTAATGACACGCGTGTAAATACTGAATAGTTCCTCTGGTGTGAAAAACTAAAAGTAAATAAGGATCAAAATGTATAATTGATATTGTGTAATAGGAAGAAAAGATCTCAAAGAGTAGAGGAAGTGGAAGGGGTAGGGGAAAGGCAAAAAGGGAAAAGAAAAAAATATGTAAAAAGGAAGAACATGCAAACAATGTCTTTGTAAACAGGGAAGGGTGGAGGGGGTGGAGGGAAAGCTGGGGAATTGGGGAAAAAAAGAACAGATGAATATAACAACTGTACACCTAAATTGTACTAATAAACTAAATAAAAAGAAAAAGAAAAGCTGAAAAAAATAATAGAGTGGAAAGTTTATATAGACTACCTTCTCCACAAAGGGTTGCCTCTGGTTGTAAAAGGAAGGTATCTAGAGAAAAGAGCTAGAGAATCAGGGTTTGGTGAAAGTCTCAGCACCCTGTTCTCATCTTCAGATTGGGAGAAGGGATGACCCACAGAGGAGTTTTGGTTGACCATCAAAGTCTGAGCCAGCTTTCTGTCTGGAAGTCTGGAAAGCAAGGACATAGAATTGAAGGTAAGATAACTGCTGGGAGGTGCTGAGAGCAGAGAGGCTCTGAGCAGCATCAGTTCACCTCCCATTGTCCTGGAGTGGCTCTGGAGAGAAGATCAATTTTCCTTTGTCCTCAAGGTAGATCTAAACATTAGCAGAGGGGAAAGCAAGAGGATACAGAGGACACTGGGTGAAGATGACAAGCCTGAAAACTCTTAGGAGTCAACACAATTCAGCAAGTGCCAGCATGAAAAGGCATCTTGACTAAATATCAAGTGAACTGAGTTATATCTCAGTGGATGCACTGTAGGGCTACTGAGATCAAAGGCCAAATGCATTTTGCTTCCTCCTCCTTCCATCTCCAATGCCATAGCAGTATATAAGTCTCTGGGTCATAGATGGTAGCCAGGGAGGATGGGAAAGGAGAAGATCTAGAATTGACTCATTTTATTTAACCTGATTGATCTGAACTACAACTGACTCAGATGTATCTCGTGCTATAAGATGGAATGGGACTCAAGATAGAAATCATATTATGGAGAAAAAAAATCCTTTCTTTGCACTGAAGTTTGTACACTGTTGTTTGTACAAGTTGAACATCTGACCTACTCTATTAGACCAAGTCTCACCCTAGAACTGATGGAAGCACTGAATCTATGAAATGGAGCTCGGGAATTTTAATTTAATTTATTTTTGGTACTGGGGATAGAACTTGGGTCCTTATGCTTTCAAGGCAGGCAGTGGAACCACTGAGCTAAATCCCCAGCCCATCGGGAACTTTGATTTTAAACTAATTCCTTGGATGTCTGAGTACCACTCAGAATATTCACTGTTGACCTTTATCATGTTTCTTACTTTGCTAAATTCTGATCATTTTGTCTGCTATCTGTATCTTTTTGTTTGTTTGTTTGTTTTGTACCAGGGATTGAACTCAGGACCTCAGTACCTTGCACTTGGGAAGCAGGCATAGCACCACTGAACTACATCCCCAGCTCTCATATTTCTTACTTTGCTAAATTCTTTCTGATCATTTTGTCTGGTACCTGGGCTCCTTTTCATGTGCCTTCCCCTTATATTTGGTATCACCAAAGCTTATAAACAGCTCATAGATTCAGTTATCTGGGAACAAATAGACAAGCATCATATTGTTATGTCCAGCACATATCATTCATTCAGTTGAGAAGTTAGCTGTCAGTCTGACTGCTCCTTTGAAAGTTATAAGGCCCAGGGGACTGGAGGTTCCTCTGCCTGTCTCGCAAGTGTAAGGTCCCAAATTCAATCCCTGGTACCAAAAAAATCATGAAAGTTATAAGGCTTTTATTTCTCTTAAGAATTTTGTTTTTGTTTTAACTAAATTTCTAAAGTTGAATTTATTTTTATCTTGCTTGGAGTTCAATAGTGATTCATGAATCTGTGATTAGACTTCTTTCAACTTTTAGAGATTCTTAGCCAGCTTGTTTTAACACATTGCTCTACTTCATCTCTCCTCTGCTTCTAGTTAAAATTACATGTATAAATCCCGTTCCTCATAGCCCATATGTTTTTCACATCCTTTGTCAGTTTTTTCATCCTTTTCATGCTGATTCAGCTTCAATATCTTTCTGTACTGTCTTCTGGTTCATTAATTCTCTTTTCAGCTACATCTAATATACTTAAATTTGTCTAATGAATTCTTAATATCAGGTATTATAAATTTTAGTTTTCACATTTTTAACCTGTCAAAATTCTCAATACTTTAATTCCTTGAAATCCTTATCCTTGGTTGTTTTAGAGTTCAAGTTTGAGCTGGATATGGTGGAACATACCTGTAATCCTAGTACTCTGGGAGGCTGAGGCAGGAGGTCACAAGTTCAAGCCAAGCCCGGGCAATTTAGGAACTTAGACCCTCTCTCAAAATCTATAAATAAATAAATGATTGAGAATGTAGCTCAGTGTGAAGGCTCTGATTTCAATCTCTAGCGCACACACACACACACACACACACACACACACACACACACACACAAAGGCCTGATAACTAGAGAGACCCCTGAGACCTCTTTATTGTATATTCTTTCCCTGTCTCTGAAAATGTTGGCTTTTCAGTCATATTTTACCTTTGCATGCTTAGTTATTTTTGGATAAAACTGTTCTCTCATAATTTACTTAGGCTTGCTTTTGGAAGGCTCGATCCTTTTCATCCCATCAAGCCTTTGTATGACTGAAAGCTGGCTTCACTCTAGTTTACATTATTCCTCATGTGCAACCCCTCACGGTCCCAACAAGAGCCCAGGCATATGTATCAGGGTCCCTCTTTCTTGGGAGACCCTCAACTATTTCCTACTCCCCAGCCTCGCTTTTTGAATGCTCTACTCAGTTTTTCACCCCCCATTTTAGAACTGTCAACATCCTTGGGAGAAGGACAAGTGGCCCCAAATGTTAGGCTCACTGCCTCTCCCTCCTACCCTAGCATGTGATCCCACCATTCCTCACTGCCTTGGTGGTGCTCTGATGCCTTCAGTCAGGTCTGTAAAACCTTTTGTCCAACACTTCTAATCTTCCTCAGTAGAAGAGTTAGTCATAAGGCTGCCCACTCTTACTGCAGCTCAGACTCAGTTCCAGTTTCCTATTGATAGTCTCCTCTGTGTCTCACAGGTCCTGGGTGCTCACTGTGTTCACATTAAACCCTCATCCACTGCCCAAATCACCCAACTTGTTTTTCCTGTTGTGGTTATTTCTGGTCAAGGTTTTCAAATCTCTTTATCTGTCTTTCTCCTCCCCTCCCCTCACCCTCCTCTTCTCTTCTCTTTCCCTCCCTCCCTGTTTCGTGCATGCTGCCTCCATTATTTCCTGCCCCCTGAACTTACTCTGTTCCCTAGAATATCATGTGACCCCCGTCAGCATCTTCCTGTCAATGCAGCTGTCTTTCCTGTCTTTTCTGCTTTCAGAACCCTCCCCCATGCTTACACTGCTGAGTTATAAACAACTTCCAAAATAGGGTTCTGGCCAAATCATTGCCCACCCCTTGGAGGGCTTCTGAAAGCCTCTGCGAATGAGGAATAATCACCTCAGTACAGAGAGAGACCCTCCGCAATTTAGGCTCTAGCACATTTCCCTGAGCTGTATTCACTACTCTCCTGATTCTTCCATCATCTATCCAAACCACTTCCCAGAGCATAGTATACTTTCTGCCCAGATTGCCCTCTTTCCTCTCTTAGTCCATTTTCTGTGACAACAGAACAGCTGATGTTGAGTAGTGTAAAAGAGGTTTAGTGAGCTCATAATTCTGGTGGCTGGGAAGGCCAAACAGCACGCTGCTGGCCTCCTGTGTCACAACACGACAGGTGGCATCACATTGGGGAAGCACATCCAGTGAGGGGCCGAATGGTGAGAGAGTAAGCAAGAAAGGACTGAGAAGGTAGGCTCCCTCTTATGTGACAACCTGTTCTCAATGGAAATCATCTAATCCAGCCAGTCCCAAACCACTCTTATTGATCACCATTATCTCACAGCCTGGGTGGCCACGACGCAGTCACTTCCCACGAGGCCCCACCTCTTCACATCCCACCATCTTTCGATACCATTGCACGGAAGACCAAGCTCCCAATAGATGAGCCCCCGAGTTATGATTCACATCCAATCCACAGTACCCACTGCCTCACAATTTTCACAACCCTCCTCTACTGAGATCCATCTCTAATGCAACTTCATTCATTCTATCAATAAAAGTTCTTTGAGCACCTGCTACATGTCAGGCATAATGCCAGATCCTGAGAACACAAAGGTGACCAAACTAGACATGATCCTTGCCCTGGCCTTTTAAAACTCTCTTGGGAGAAAAAGACACTTGACAAACTACTTATCTCTATTTCTTATATGAAATTTTTGCAGGGCTTCTCAACTATGACTGTCTCCCCCTTTTTTTCAGTTCTTGCTCTCCATTGCCGTTGCCACCCCTCCCAACTCCCCATTACCACTAACACCTATCTTCTAGTAATTTCTATCCAATTCTTACTACCCTTACCTTACCCCTTTACTAGCTAAGATCATGTTTTGCTTTAAGGAGTGGGAACTGTCTTACTCTGTCACCCAAGACCTTTATGAAGCAACCAGGTAGCGCCTAGCCTGGCCTCAGGAGTACTGAAGAGGAAAGATCAAATATCTAATATGTAGTCTAATATCTGCCTCTGTCCAGAATTTAGGGCTGTCCCAATACGCTGCCTGGTACTTTCCTGTCCTCACCACTCCCATCCCAGCAGACAAGGGGCTTTCCGCACCACTATGTCTCAGTTTCTCCTGACCCCCAAGCCCTGGCTAGGACTCAATTTCAGACTTCACCCCTGTTCTTTTTCTGCTCTCAGAGTCTCAAGATTGCTAACCAGTCTCACTCTGCACTCAGATCTAAAATCAAATTATTTCTATTGGTTAATGTTATGTGTCAACCTGCCTAGGCCATATGGTTGGTCACACATTATTCTAGATGTTTCTGTGAAAGTATGTTTAAGATTAACATTTAAATAAGTAGACTGAGTAGATTGCCCTCCATAGTGGAGGATGGACCTTATACAATGAGTCAAAATTAACACAAGACTGACCTCTCCTGTAAAATCTGCCAGCTGATTGCCCTTGGACTTGAACTGCAACATCAACTAATGCCTTGGTCTTGACTGAATATTTTAGACTTGCCAGGCTCCACAATCATGTAAGTCAATTCTTTATAGTCCCCCTCTCTCCCTCTCTCTATTTCAGTCTTGGTCGTTTTCTCTCTCTCTACACACACACACACACACACACACACACACATGGACTGAACATTTGTATCCTCCCCCAAATCCATATGTTGAAACTCTTAACACTTCAGTGTGGCTGTATTTGAAGATAAGGCCTCTACAGAAGTAATTTAAAAAAGAAGTAAGGTTAAGTGAGGTCATAGGGAGGGATCTTGATCCAGTAGATTACCCACTGTCCTCCCAACGTGTGAAGCATTTTCCCACCCCTGAACGTTTCTGTGGTGTGGGGGGTACTGGGGGTTGAACCCAAGGCCTTCACACGGATCAATAACTCTAACCCTTTTTTGTTCTATTTTGAATCCTGTCAGTCTTGCTAAATTACCCAGGCTGGGTTTGAATTTGATTCTCCTGCCTCAGGCTCCAAAAGTACAGGGATTAAGGGCTGTGCCCAGCTCCACCACTTAACTTTTACACAACAGCAGGCCCTCATCGTGGACTCTTCACTCTAAATTTTACCCCTTCAAATCTGAGCTCCCAATCACCTCTGTGAAGTGGTCCCTAAACACACAGCTAATTTCTCTAGCTGTGACTGTAAGTGCTGTTGATTCTTCTCAATGAGACTAGCAAGGGAATCACAGGATAGGTTCCCATGCGGTTGTCCTTCCACTACCACTATTGTGAGCAATTGAAATTTGTCTTCTTGGACCCTCTCATGGTAGTCCTCGTCCTTATCCTTCCTAGAGGGATGTTTCAAAGATAAAAAATGAAAATGCTTCATATATTATTGCCAATTTATATTAGGGATGAGCATGAGAAAAAGAAAATGAATCAATTTCCTTTTTTGAGAGGTCTCACTCTCTCTGTGACCCAGGCTTGGCCTCCAAACCTTGATCCTCCTGTCGCAGTCTCTCAAGACCTAGGATTACAGATGTACCATGCCCAGCTGACTCTAACACTTTAAAATTCTTGTAAGTTTTTTTTTAAACTTTCCTATATTCCACACTTGAGATCACTTTATTTATTTACCTCATTGAGTTTATTGGTACATTTTAGGTACACAGTACAGTTACATTCATTATTGGGATCTTGTACCTTTACATGACAGGTCTTGGTTCTCATTTTTTCCCCTTGTGAGATCACTTTAAAAGTAAACGTTTTATGCCGGGGGTGGTGGCACACATCTATAGTCCTAGCACTCAGGAGGCTGAGGCAGGAGGACTATGGCAAGTTCAAGGCCAACCTGGACTATATAGGGAAGACCTTGACTCAAAAAACTAAAACAAACAAAAAAACCCTCAAAAATAAATGTTTTAAGTAAATAATTACAATTTTTTAAAGCAAAACTACATGTTTTTTTGTTTTGTTTTTTTTTTGCGGGGGGGTACCAGGGATCGAACTCAGGTCCTTATGCTTGCAAGGCAGGTGGCAAAACCACTGAACTACATTCCCATCCCACTTACATGTATTTTTAAAAAGTCCATTTTCTTATCCCTTGCTAACTATTTCTGAAGGCATCTTTGACTTCTGGTTGTTTTTTTTGTTTCTGGTACTAGCCGCCCCCCAGAGTCCCTCTAGGCTGCCCAAGCAAGCTTCAAGCAATGGATTTTCCTGGCTTAATCCCAAGTAGCTGTGATTATAGACTGGTGCCACGTGGTTCGCTTTTTTTCTTCTTTTTCTTTTTAGTTTTAGAGTGGTGAAAGAGAAAGGTTCTGTTGGCCACTGCATAAACATCCTGCTCTCACTCCTCAAAACCAAAATAAGCCCCTCCTTATCATGGGATTCTTATTGCTTTTATGGTATAGACAAAATTAACCATGTTATTAACATATCCCTGATTTAAAAAAAAAAACACTTAAGAACTTTTATTTACTTTTTGAGACAGAACCTTGCAATGTCGTTCAGGCTGTCCTTAAACAGAACAACTTAGCCCAGGCTGGCCTGCAACAGGTGGCGATCCTCCTGCCTCAGCCTCCCCAGTGCTTGGATTACAGACTGGTGCCACCATGACCTGCTAGTGAATAACTTCATATATGAAGAAAGTTATTGCTGTCCTTTGCTGGGACAGTTTGTAAATAAAAAGAGGCTGTGATTAGTACTATCACAGAAGTCCCCCAAAACCCGGGTTTACTCTTGGCCAGTAACTTCCTTAGCAAATGAATCTCTTGGAACCACGAGGATGTTTCCTATGAAGCAGGTAATCCCTACGTAATTTTCCAGCCTTTGGAACCATAGGTTCTAGTTCTGAAACAGTATACAGTATTGTGCTTCCAAAAGTGCTTAGCCAAAAAAGATATATTCTTTGCCTCAGTCCTTCGGGCCAGCCTGAGATAGATGCCAAGAACTTGTCTCAAAAAAAAAGTTCTTCTGTGTCGACTTTTTTGTAAAAATGGTGTTTCTATTGCTTTGAAAACCGGGTCTCGCTAGGAAGATCAGGCCGGTCTTGAACTCGCTAAGTTCACACAGGCTGGTGGTTTGGAGCTCGCACTCCTCTTGCCTCAGCTAAAGTTCAGAGGGAAGAAAAATCAGGGTGGATCTGAACCAACTACATTTAAGTCAGCAGGCCTCAATGGAGCAAATAACTGAGGCTAGAGTTAAGAAATATATATATTTTTAAATGTAACAAACTCAATCCACGTCCATAAAGGATCAGTCTCCCAATAAACCCAAGAAGGAGACAGTTCAGGGCTTTTTCTCATTTTAAAAATCAGGGAACTAAGGTTTAGAAAGCCTAAGAGGCCAGCTGTGGTCCCCCCAACTTCGCCTCACCTCCTCGCAGCACCTGAAGCCCCTCAAACAAGGAGCCGAGCCAGCTCAGACCAGCTGGAGCAGCAGCGCTGAGGTTGCTTTCAAAGTACAGGCACTTCCGCCTGCTTGGCCCCGGCCGCTGCGAGTTCGCCTCACAGTCACAAGGGGTCCCCCAGGGCCCGCCCCACTGCCAGCTGATTGGGCAGACGCTGACTTCGGATTGGCTGTTCACTTTCCGGCTCTCCAACGCGACCTAGACCAACCGGATATAGTGGCAGGGCTTCCGTTTCTGCTCCTCCGCCCCGCCCCTCCCGCTTGTCCTCAGACGGTAGTCGCCACCGCAGCGGTAGCTCCCCGGCGCCGTGTCTGTGTGTCGGTTGGTTGGACTCTCAGCGTTGGTGTCTGTGCCGTTGACTTGCTCTCCATGGCTGAGCTAGATCCGTTCGGCGTCCCCGTCGGCCCCGCGCTAGGGAACGGGGTAGCCGGCGAGGAAGACCCAGCCGCGGCCTTCTTGGCGCAGCAGGAGAGCGAAATTGCGGGCATCGAAAACGACGAGGCCTTCGCTATCCTGGACGGCGGCGCCCCCGGGCCTCAGCCCCATGGCGAGCCGCCGGGGGGAACGGGTGAGAGTACGAGCGCGCTTGGGGTGGGAAGAGTTGTGGAGAAACTCAGCCCGGAGTGGCTCCGAGAGTTTCGGTTTGGCTCGTGCTCTCAGCTGAGCCACAGGCTAGGGAGGACTGCAAGGAGGAAACGAGACCCCGGCCCAGTCATGCAGAAGTCTTCCCAGTTCTGAGTGTCGCTGGCGCGGGCGGAGTCAGAAAGCGAATACAGTAGGGTGCCTGGGAGGCTCAGGAGGAAGTCCCTTCAGTTCAACTTTTCATTAAGCACTTGCTGTACCTTAAGTCTGCTTTCTGAAGCTGCCGCATTGGCGCGGTTCGGCCAGATTTAAAGGCAACTCTGAGCTTAAGAATCGGTTTTTGGGAAGGGAGGGCAGAAACAGTAAGAATAGTATCATGTTTTAGACATTCAGCCAGAAACGGCAATGTCACTCAGCATTTAAAGATGTACAGGGCTGGATTGTGAGGAAGAACGGAGGACTAAGAAACTCAAGAAAGATGCATAAGCCGTTGCAGAAGGAAACTGGCCAAGAGGGTTAGTTTACCATTGTTGAGTGTCTGGAGGAACTCTTCTTCCTCTGGGAAAGGCTTTGCTAAGCAGAATTGCCTAAGGAGAACCCAAGATTAGCCTGGACCAATCAGGGAGGGAAGAAGAGAATGCAGTGTGGCCTTTCCCCAGCCAAACTCGGGAGAGGTGGAAGGTGGGGGTGGGTAGGGTGAGAATTTGACCTTTGAATGCCTTGCCTTAGTGTGATGCTTAAGTTTGGGGGGAGGAGGTTTGAGTGGAAAATACCTATTCAGGGGTATAGAGTAGAAAATTAGCTTGCAGAAATGAAACGTGACTTTTAAATTTAAGTAAAACATTCCAACTAAAGGGAAAGGGGCTATTACAGCAAGTGAGAAGGTCTATGCTACCCTAAATTCAAACCTTGAGGGGCCACACACCGGTAACCTAAAGGAGAGAAAGAGGTGGGGCTTGAGACAATGGAGAAGAGACGTGGGCTTTGGTTCAGTAGTCTTCAGTGTCTATTTGAGACAGAAATCTCGAATTTCTATGCCAGCCAGGCAGAACCTTTCTTGGGGGTGTAAGGGTAGTTTGCAGTCCCTTGAGTATTTATACCACAGTATGCCACATTTTAAGCAAATCAGCTCTTCAGAAGAACGTGTAGTAAACTTCACTATGCAAGTTACAGAAAGCGGGTCGGACAGAACTGGGCCGGAAACTGGAAATTGAAGTTGGCTTTAAGTGATTAGGGTCTTTTTTGTTGTTGGATAGTCTCTGACATTTAATTAAACATTCTTACTTTTTAGATATTTAGTTTACCTCCTTAATTTAGTAGAAGAAAAAAAATATTAAAAGAGGGGATTTGCTTCAGTGAAAAGGATGTATTAATAATATCTGAGAACTTTTTCTCCTAACTTTTATTTCTTCTTTTTACAAACCGGTATGTCCAGAGCTGACTTTCATAGAAGGCAGAGAGGGTACAAAACACCTACCCAGGAGCAGGTTGTCTAGGAGTTGTTTAGCGCCAGGTTTCTTGAAAGTGTGCATTGTGTGATAGACAATAGGGCACCCCCCATCCGGCTCCCCTCCCTTAGACTGTACCACATTCTTTTGCAAGTGTTTTAGCCGAGGTGTGGTGGAATAAAAGAACAGCGTTGTGACTTTTCTGGCTAGAACAGAATTGGGAGAAGCAGCACCCAGAGTTAGAAGGCTGTCATGATTCAGTGACAATGTTATTCTTACTGTTTTATCTGCCAATGTGTCTGGCACATAGCAGATGTTCATATACTTGACAAGGAAACGGCCAAAAAGAGTCCTGTATGTGTAGAACATGTGAGTCTTGATGGTAGGCAGTTTGGGAAGGCAAAGGGAAGAAAATAGAATGGATGCTGGGGCCTTTTGTGTTTCAGACCTTCAGCAAAGGGAAGGAAAGGGATGATTGCTGACTTAGTTCCTGGGAAAGACATTCTTAATGAAATAAGCATTCAGTGACTTAATCCAGATCCCTGACTGTGTTTGAGGTTGATAATAGTATAGTGGTCAGCACTTCTTTTGGGCTTAGAGAACTTGTTGGTCGTTGCCTGCTCACAGCATCCCCACCCCCCATTGTCTCCCTTCTGGTTAGAACTTTGCAACCGTATGCTGTTTGTGTTTGTTTATTTCATTTTTTGAGACAGGGTCTTCCTATGTTCAAGGCTGGCGTTGAATTTATGTAGCCCAGGCTACATAATTTATAGTGATCCTCCTACCTCAGCCTCCAGAGTGCTGGGATTACAGGCATGTGCCACAATGTCCAGCCCCTTGTGTGTGAGTGCAGCTTTGTGGTCTTAGGTAATTTATATAACTACTACCACTGCCTCAGTTTTCTTCTTTATAAAAGGTGCATACTATATACCATGTGGTGTTTTTTAGGATCACATTAAGGAGTATTATAAAGTGCTTACTGGTATATGGTGAGCAAACAGTGAATCCTAGCTACTGTTATTTCCAGAGGGCAGGATGAAGGAGTTTACAAAGTTAATTAGCTTGAGGTGTACTGAGTAAATTGAGAAATTTTAGATTGGAGCTCTTGTTTTACTCTACCAGAGAGATGTAGGTAGTAGGCTTTAGCAGATAGAGGAGAAAGGTAAAGTCTAAAACTCCTCCTAGCCTTGGAGAAATCCCAAGGAGAATGGGCACAGGCAGAAATGGAGGACTGAGCTTTCCGTGACTCCTTCAATTGTTAGGCAGTCCAGAGAAGAGACTTAAGTTTAGGGGCCAGGAGATCATCAGCTGGGTGCAGTGGCCTGAGGATTACTGAAAAAGACACAGTGATCAAGAAGAAAGCAGGGCAAATAGAGCAAAGCTAGCCCTCAATTGTGAGGGCTGGAGAAAGAGTGGGGAAGAGTGAGAAGTGACAAAGGAATTAAGGAGAGGGCCAGGGATTTAGCTCAGTGGTTCTGGCCACTGCCTTGCATGCGCAAGGACATGGTTCGATCCCTGATACCAAAAAAAAGGGAATTAAGGAGAGAGTATAGCAGCAAGGGCTAATTACTGTGTTTCTGACAAATCCTTGGAGGAGAAAGAAGAGGTGAATGAATTAAAGGGGAATTTTCTGGAGGGTGAGTATTTTTATTAGTATCTGTGGTAGAGAGAAATTTAGGGAAATTTCACACATAGTATTTAAGTATACTGTACATTTATTTGTGCTCTGTGAGTTGAGTGGTAATACCATTATATTTCAGATGAGAATGGCTCTGCTGGAATTAAACAGTGTTCCTAAAGTATAAGCTAATTAGTGGCTCAGTTGGGATTCAGACCTAGATCTGCTTGACTTCAATGTTTGGGGAGCATGGAAAGTTGAAAGTGGGTTTGAGAGTTTTTTCCCCTTAGGAAACTTTCTCTGGCCCCAGTTTCTTGCTAGAATTTCTAAGATGTCATAGAAAGACTGCTTCTGGATCATTGAGTTGTTTAGCTTAGCTGTCCTACTAAGTTAGGGGCCTAGATATTTCTGTACCAATGGACTATCCTTTGACTTGGGTCAGTTGTGATTCATATAAGAATGTCAGTATAGGGCTGGGGATTTAGCTCAGTGGCACCACACTTGCCTCTCAAGCTCAAGGTCCTGAGTTCGATACCCGGTACCAAAAAAAATAAAAAAAAGGTCAGTATAAATTGGGCTTGGTGGCACATGCTATGATCCCAGTACTTGGGAGGCTGAGGCAGGAGGGTTGCCATGACTTTGAGGTCAGCCTGGGCTACATAGGTGAGTTCTAGACTAACCTGAACTACATAGTGAGACCCTGTCTCAAAAAAACAAAAAATGTCAGTATAATACTACAGTAATAAAGAGCTCAAAGCACATCCCAAACAATAGATGAGGATGAGTCTAAAGGACAAGTAGCATGTAATTTAGGAGATACTAGATGAGGGTTGCTTCTAGATTTGTGTATGAAGTAGTGATCAACGTTTGTTTTTCGGAAAGTGGCCCTGGGCTGAAATATACTGGATAGTTGGTGAGTTAGCTGTAATACATTAACCAAAATGTATGGTTAATGTTTTGGTCAGAGTAGCCATTGTAGGGCCTACAGTTTAAAACTTACATGAAAGTAAATTCTAGATGGATTAAAGAGAGGCATTTAAAAAAGTACCAGAGGAAAAGTGAATATCTTATAGTAGGAACGGCCTTCAGCATAAAATCAGATGCAAAAATAAATAAAACCAGATGCAGAAATCATAAAGGAAAAATGATAGTGTTTACATACAAAGTAAGTAGTCCTTAGGTATTAAGATACCATAAAACAAGTTAAAAAACAAGGGGGAGATAATATTTGCAATATGAGAGTACTATCGATGGAGAATACTTAAAGATCAAATGATAGCAAAAAAGTAGGCAAAACTCAGTTCAGTAAAGAAGAAAATCAGATGTCAGATAGGATATTACTTTTGCTATGACTGGCACACCACGCCTCTCATTTTTCTACTGTCAATTTAGCAAAAATTTAAAAACATGATATAACAGCCTAGTATCAGTGAAGGTCTGAAAAATG